GTGCTACTAAGTTTTCTCTCTAAACTTCTCACTACAAACTTGTGCTCAAGTAGCATAAAATACTCATGAACTTAAACTTCATCACAATGGTGCTATTTTTCAGATTTTGTATCTCCTCTAAGAATTAAAGAATTAGAAGTTTTTGAATCACCAACTCCAGAATATTTAATTCCTTGATACTAATTGAACCAACTCCTAAAAAAAATTACCCTAATAAAAAAAATGCATGTGATGCAAATATGCGAACTAATATAAAGAATGTGACACCTAAAAGTTATTCTCTCCCCCAAACTTAAATCAAACATTGTCCTCAATGTAAAATAAAAGTATAAGAAAAAAAAAAACTTCCCAGATTCTGCACTTGAAAGAGATTTGGGTGCTGGAGTTGAACTATCTTCAATGAAAGGAGACTTCTAGCATGCACATGTTTAAAATCTTGTCCCCAAACTTGCTTAATGTCCTGTCCAACAATTAGGAACAATGAAATAGTGTATAAGCCACACTATGCAATTAAGCAAATCACATTCACCCAAAGTTGACGAACTTTCTGTGTTATTATTATTATTTTTTTTCATGCATGACCCAACAATTTATCATTCCCTCATCACTTAGCCTGCTCCGAACCCATAGATAGTTGCTCAAAAACCACAAACAAATTTCAGGCTTAAGAAGCAATTAGACTTCCTCTACTAAGGATGTGCAGTCCAATATTTAACCCAAACTCCTTCAATTTCATGTCAAAAACAATGCTAACAACAAGCAGGGCATAACAATTAACCCAGTGTCATGAAATGAGAGCTCTATTACCAAATTTCAGTAGCAAGGAATTTCCTTGTTAATTAAAATCCACAATGGTAAAAGCAGAATCAAGCACAGTAAATAGATATTGAACAGCCAAAAACAAATTTAAACCCCCAAACTCAAGCTATCATCGTTTTCAATGTATTTTAAATAGAAGAAAAACTTCCCCATATGAGCAGTTGAACATTGGAAGGTGAAACTTGGGTTGAAATGCTTCTAATCTCAGTTAGTGTTGAAATGCTTCAGCCTGGGTCATGTAAAAAAAAAATTAAATAATGAAATTTGCACTACCCACATAAAGAATAAAAATAAATAAATAAATAAATAAATAAGAGATAAAAAGAAAAGAAAAGAAAATAAAATTTAATGCTTGGGTTGCCTCCCAAGAAGCGCTTATTTATAGTCAGTAGCTTGACTATCCTTGGATGATTAAGTTGGATTATGTAACTCAATGGTCATCACATGCTTGTTGTATCCGCCATCCATGTAGGGTTTCAACAATTGACCATTCACTTTAAATGTGCCCTTTGTATCGTGAGATACTTCCACCACACCATAAGGAAAAATTCTTGTCACCATGAAAGGACCTGACCATCTGGATCTT